GTATGCGTGTAGCTGTAGCATCCTTGTCGTAATGTGATTGGATTTGGTTTCTGAGATGGTTGTCTTCCAATATATGAGTAGCTGCAAGCTGTGGTGCATTGTAGACCAGTGATTCGCCTTCTTTTTTGAATATTGCGTATGATTCGTACGACTTATTTTCTTGGTATTCTGGTTTTCGGCTAAGAGCGTCGGCTCTAGCATTTTCTGATCCTTTAACATATGAAATCTTGAAATTGTAATTGGCCATGGTCTCCGACCATCTGACCTGTCGTCTGTTTAACTGCTTCGTTGTGGTGAAGTAAACCAAGTTCTTATGATCTGTGTACACTTGTACTGGGTATTTTGATCCTTCCAAATAAACTCGCCATTCTCTAAATGCATCGACTATTGCCAGTAATTCTTTGTCGTATATTTCGTAATTTAATTCGGCTGGTGATAGTTTTCGAGAGTAGAATGCGATTGGTTGTCATTTCTCATTCTGGCCTGGTTGGCTCAAAACTGCGCCTATAGCGAAATCTGAGGAATCCGTTTCCACTATGATTGGCTTTTCAGGGTCGAATGTTAACAGTATTGGCTCTTTCGCTACTGCTTGTTTGAGTGTATCGAATGACTCCTGCGCCTTGGTGGTCCATTCGAAACTTCCTTGATCCTTCTTGGTTAGGTTGGTTAAGGATGTTGTAATCCCTGAATAACCTCTAATAAACCTTCGATAAAAGTTGACAAATCCTAGAAAGGACTGTAATTCTTTAATTGTATTTGGCTGCTTCCATTCAAGCACTGCCTTGACCTTATCCTTGCTCATTTTGAGCCCTTGGCTTGATACGGTGAATCCTAGGAACTCTGTTTCCGTAACGTGGAATTCACATTTGCTTGGTTTACACAGCAAATCGGCTTTAGCTAAGCTTTCAAGAATGTTGCTGACATCTTTGATGTGTTGGACCTCGTTGTTTGAATATACTAGTATGTCGTCCAAGTAGCATATACAACAGGTGTCCAGATATTGCGACAGCACATTGTTCATAAGTCTCATGAAAGTAGCTGGTGCGTTCGTTAGCCCGAATGGCATAACTTGATATTCGTATAGCCCGTATCTTGTCTTAAAAGCGGTTTTCCATTCCTCGCCTTTCTTCATTCTAATCAAGTGGTACCCGTTTCGTAGGTCCATCTTGGTAAATATTGTTGCTCCGCCTAACCGATCTCTTAATTCCGTAGCTAATGGAAGTGGATATCGATCTTTCTTTGTAAGCGTGTTGAGCTTTCTGTAGTCCACAACTAGTCTCTTAGTACCATCTTTCTTAGGTACCCACATAGTTGGACTTGCCACTTGGGACGTGGATTCTCTGATCCATCCCTTGGCCAAGTTGTCGTCGATATATTCTTTGAGCGTCTTTAGCTCATCGGCTGACATTGAATAAATTGGGGTGTGCACAGGCATCTTGCCTTCCTCCAATATTATCTCATGATCCCATGGCTTGTGTTCTGGCAAAGCCTCATGGATCCCTGGTTCCTTGAACACATGTTCGTATTTCTTGTACTGTTCTGGTATCATAGGCTCTTCTGCCTTGATTGCGATTTCCTGCCGTGTCGTTGGCTTCTGCATTTGTAGAGGAGGTGTACTGGCCTTCGCTCTTAATGGAGGACCCTGGACTGGGTGTCCTACGTCACCGAAGTTGTTCGCGTTCAACTCCCCTTGGCGCGTGTTACGTCTCGCGGACGCCTCTAGCGTGTCTCCTTGACCGCATTTGCACTGATCAAAGGTCACTGTCTCTTGTGACCAATCTATCCTAGGATTGTGTGCCTTCAACCATGGCATTCCTAGGATGATCTGTTGTTGGCCCAATGGCACAACGTCAAGCTGTATAACCTCTGAATGTTGGTTTATGTTCATTTGTACTGGTCGTGTCTCCTGTGAAACGTTCCCGTCCAATCCTGCTAGCTGGCCATCAACTAACTGCAATTGATATGGTTTCTGTTTCTTCTGAAGTGGAACTTTCAAGTACTTTGCAGCTTCTGGTGCAATAAAGTTTCCTGTAGCCCCTGAATCTATCATGGCTTGCTGTATTTGTCCGTTTATTTTGACCTTGCAGTATATCTGTCCTGCTTGTCCTGTAGCATTCAATTGCTGGGTAACTTGTTTTTTGTCTGTTTCGTTGGATTGCTGGTTCCTTGTCTTTCTTTTCTTGGGGAACCATCCGGTTGCTTCTTTATCTGATCGATGGATTCCGCAGAATTCATCATAGCAAGCAGTCCAGCTCATCATCGCGTGATCTGCTGGTATCTCTTCCTTAATACATTCTTCCGTTACCGACGGTGATGGGGTTCGGTAGTACTCCTGTTCCCACAAGTCTACTGCATTCATACCCTCTTGGTTTCGCGGTAACTCATCCAATAATTTCCGGAATTCTTCAATGGTGAAGGTCTCAGTTTCTTCGGTCTTAGCTGGATGTTCCTGGGATACAAAGGTAGCGTTAAGTTGGCCTTTGCCGAACTTGGGTTTGAAGTTGCCTTTCTTTCCTCCTGTCTTCTTGTTTCGGCAATCCGCTGCCCGATACCCTGCTTTTCCACATTCAAAGCATAAGTTGTTTTCTCGCCTTCGTCTTTTCTCTGGGTCATCATTCCCGTTTCTATGGTGCGTGGCGTCTAGTTCCATGGGGTCCCCGTAACTCTGTCTACTGTAACGTGGTCTACCCTCATTCTTGCGGTAGCGCCCTTGCCTATGATTTGTCTGAGGCTTGTATGTTCGTTGGGTTTGTTTGTACCTGTATAGTCGGTCATCGGCATCGATGGAGCTTTTGATTAGTCCGTTCAAGTCATCGTCCTCCCCTTCCCTATCAAGTTCCAAACGTACTTCTGGTTTGAGTCCTTTACGGTAATGACTCATGATGGCGACCTCGTCCCATTTAGTTGTCCCCGCATATCTTCGGAACTCCGTAGCATACTTCAATGCCGATCCTGTCTGTTTGAGGTTGAAGATCTTCTCTTCCGCTACCTCTAACTCATTGGAGTTTCCGAAGATCCTACGGATTTCTGTCTTGAATCCTTCGAAACTGTCGAAGATGGTTCTTGTGGGTTGCATGCGTTCCCTGTCGTCATGCTCGAAATAGTCGCGCAGGTATGGCTGAATCCATTTGCCTGCCTCGCCTCTGAGGTATGACACGGCCCAAATACTCTTAGATTCCTTTTCGGTGAACTTGTCTTGGTTGAATCTAAAATAGATTTCAAGTTGTAATAGGAAGGTGTCGAGTTCCTGCCGACTTCCTTGGTACTTGTCTGGTAAGGCAATCTTGAGTGTTTCGTTGATGGTGATCTCCTTGGGAGCATCAGTCATTTCGACATCATCGAAGTTGCTTGCTGGGGCCGGTTGGCTTCTGGAAGAACTGTTGGCTGCCATACTGGCGGTTGGTATTGAATCGGTACTTGAAGCAGAAAGGGTGCTCAAAGTGTTACGGGAGCTGCCTCTAGGGTCACGTGGAAGTGTCTAGAGTTCTCTCGAGGTGGTTTAGACTAGACTTCAAGTAGGAATTCAATAAGGTTGGTAACTGGTTGCAATTCTCGTAACTATAGTAATGAAACTAATGATTGTTCTTGAGCACGAAGCTCTACATTATAATGAAACCCATTCCCTTATATAGATTTTCGTACCTTATGAATCGACAAGTCGATTACCGTAAAGCCGATTTCGACAAGTCGGTTTCCTGATCACGTGATGTCCATCCCGTGACTGGTAATGATGCCACCGCTTATCTAACCTGTGCTCTCTAGCCGACCTGTGACTGCTGCTTACCCTGTGCCCACTGTAGGGTAGGTAACAACAAAAGATAGGTACCTATCTTTTAATCACTGATTACTTATCTGGTTACCGCTATCTTTCGTTACCCTTCAATTCAACTGTCCCTACAGTGCTGTTTTCGTAGGTTCCAACACCAAGGCCTTAGGTTTATCTTATAATCCATGTTGCGGTGCGGGTACCTCCGTAACATAGCAAAGCTTATATTTAAAGAATAATCGAAAGTAATATACTTTAAATAAAGAGTTCGCTTTTCTTTAAACTTTTAACTAATACTTATTATCTACTCTTTAGTCTTTATACTCGTTCTCCTTTTCTTTTTAGCTTATATTCTTTTTTTAACCTCTACGCTTATATTCTTATACTTATATCTCTTTATTTATCTTTCTATAACTTTTAAAATTAAAAGATCTTAAAAGCTCTAAGACCTCTTATTTTCTTTTTTCCTATAAAATTTAATAGTAAACGAGTCTCATCTTAAACTAATTATATTCGTTACTAGCGAAGTAAGCATTTTGTTTATAAGGTTAATAAAAAAAATATTAATATTATAATATATACCTTAAAAATTATATGAGGATTTATATTAAATTTCTTTTCGTTACTAACATTAACTTTATTATTATAGGGATATCATATATATAAATCTAGCTATCTAAATCGATGATGTAAAGATAATTCGAAGATGTCATTTATTTTAATTTATTAAAGACTGATTGTGTATATATCTTAATAGGTTCATCTAATATGTATACCTTCCTAGGATTTAGTTAGAAACAGATATCCCTAAAAAAAGAAGGAAATTCCTCTACTCCATTATGTACTCTATTCTATTGTATACCCTACTCTATTAAACTACTGTGATTTGTTTCGGTTTGTTTCGTTCCCGTGATCTAGATATATGGAGGGATAGATAGATAGATAGATAGATAGATAGATTAATAAATATGATTCTATTTACATTTTCAATTCATCTTATATTTTGCCCGATGAAGATTCCGAGTTTGTACTCGTGTCAAATAGCCAGCCAGCTAGACAGATGTAATATCATACAACCCCTCCCTTTTCCTCTCCACTCCAATGCAGAGAACAAGAGAACAGAAGAAAAGAAGAAAAAAAAGGAACAGATTAACCTTGTAAATGACATGAATTGCTAGATAAAATTTAATGACCCAACACAACTCAACCCGATGTCCCCTCTCCTCCCTCCCGTTCAACCTTTCATATTCACATTCGCATTAGCAGCATTCCCTCTACTCTTAGCGAATTTTTCATGCCATTTATTTACTTTTCCCGTGGCCGTCTTTTTCGTGACTTTGGGCTCTTTCTCTTTATCGTTTGCTTCTCCACTAATGACCTCTTCTTCTTTTTCGATTAATTCAATGGTGTCGGATATACTTCCTATTCTCGTGATGCTTGGTTGAGGAGTGGTGGAGGGAGAAGAAAGGTGAGTAGAAGGGGAGAGAAGCATAAGCGGATTGGAAGTATTTTTTTGGCGGAGGAGGTAGATTTTTTTGGTGGAGGGAGGTTGAGTGGTTGAGGTGGAGGTGGAGGTGGAAGGAGATACGAGGAGGTGTGCGTGGTGCGGGAGTTGGGGAGAGGAAGTTAGGAGGAGGCTGTGGGTGGAGAGCGGTGTTAGTGTGGCTGAGGGAGGGCTGGCGAGCCGGGCGGAGAGAAGAATGGACGTGGCTTACGTGGGAGGAACATCGGATTCTAGAAGGGTGAGGAGTTCCGGTGGTAGTTCGAGGAGTTTGAAGGGTTGTTGAGTGTGGTTTGCGGTGAAGGGGATTTCGGTTGACATTTTGGGGGGTGGTGTATGGGTGGTGGGTTGGAGAAAGATGTGTTTTTGAGGATTGGGTGATGGTAGGTTGGTGGGTTGGAGATTGAGATGGGAGATTGAATTCGGTCTGGTGGATTAGGTGTTGTATTGATTTGATTTGATTTGATTTGATTCGATTCGATTCGATTGGATGGTTGTATTGATTGAGAGGTTGAGAGGTTGAGAGGTTGAGAGGTTGAGTGCACCGAGGTTTGAAAGAATCGGAATGATAGAGGAGTGATTGATTTCGGCTTTTGTTTAGGGATTGGCCAGCGGGTGATGGTTTTCGGGAGTGAAGAATGTTCGGGATTGGAATTGGATATATCTCATTATCTTATCGGGATGTTAGATATTCCGAATCATAATATAGATATAGGTATCTAGGTAATAGGTATGGAATAATAAAGTGGTATTAAAATCTATCTCTCTACTCGTATTCTCTATCCATCTATGGTAACATCCGCCGTCTATAATCACTGCCCCTCATTCACCCCTAGTATAAAAGATCATCATTACCAAATCTCCTCTTGACCTCAAGATTTACCAATTCCATACCCATTCCAATCTTTCCTCTCCAATAATATTATTCTCGAATAATCTTTTTTTCCATTTCTCCCTTTTAGTTTTAGTTTTAATTTTAGAGTATGTATGGCGTAAGAGAGGGAACGAGAGGTCACTCAAATTAAATTGATTTAATCAAAGACAACTCAGCCTTAAGTAGATCACCAACCTCTTAATTTTTTCTTGGTGTAAGTTAAGAGAGAAAAAAAGAAATCTCGAAAAATGTCAAGTGTAAATGATAAGTTAAGTAAACAAGCACGCTCAGCTGGACGGCGGGGTAAGGAAGTGGACTTTGGGAAGTTTTTCGTGTTTGATGGGAAAGGAGTAAGAAACCAATCATCGCGTGGAGAATAAATCGAGGGGCTGGACGCTGTTACATGGGATTGATGGATTGATGAATGGGTGGGAGGGATATGAATATGGATGTTATACAATCCTATGTACTCTGTACTATGAATTCTTTTTATAGAGAGAAGAGAAGGTAAGAGAAGGAGGTAAGAGAAGAAGGAAAATAGAAGGGAGAGATAACACTAATAAAAAGGTCAAGGAATAACGATGAATATAATATATGTCATGTTCTCAGCTGTTCATATAAAATGTTCAATATCAATAAGACCAGCCATCATATAATATACCAACATGTCATTTTGAATACTAAGAGATAGATCCACAATCACTTGATGGATGTTTGAAGTGTTGTACATACATATATACATATCTACCTCCTACCTCCTACCTCCTACTTCCTACATACATGTATACTCATATACTCGAAATGCGCCACAATGCGTTTTTTTCCTTTGTGCCGTCAAGAAATGTTGGAGGAACATGTAGAAGTTGATCAGTAAAGGGAGAGAAGAGAAGTGAAGGGGTGAAGGGATGAAGGGGTGAAGGGATGAAGGGATGAAGAGGTGAAAGGGAAGTGAAGCAAGAGAAGAAAAAGGAGAAGGTAGAAAAGACAGAAAAGACAACAAGAACAAGAACAAAAACAAAAACAAAAACAAAAACAAAAACAAAAACAAAAACAAAAACAAAAACAGAAATATAATGTGAATATCAAAATGATGATGATATAAACAAAGTCAAGAGATTGATAAAAAATACTCTGTTTGTTTTATTTGTTATTTCAAAAGGCTATCTTGCTAATAAATAAAGTCAATACCTCATGTATTATCATATTTATCATATTTACCGTATTGTGAATTTTTGAATTTTACTTTATTACGCCGGCCTTCTTAATTATTATTTTCTCACGTTATCCACTCACTCAACTCATTCATCATCAAGCAAGTTCATCTCTGCTGCAATAATTTGATATCACCACCATAAACCCCCCTCCACTCCACTCCACTCCCCGTACCTTACCAACCCTCCCCAAATTTTATGATACAATCCTTCTCTCCATCTGTCTGCCTGTCTCTCTGTCTTCTGTCTTTTGTCTTCTATCTGCTTGCTGTCCATCTATTTGTCTATTTGTCTGCTTGTCTGCTTGTCTGCTTGTCGGTTTGTACAATATCAAATACAAGCAACCAGTCGGGTTCAGACGAATTCTATACCACACAAATCAAATACCCACCACAAAATACTTTACCTTCTTTTTGATTTATTAGATTGGTCAAAATACATCATCACAATCAAATCTTTTCAAACAAACAAGCAAACAAACAAACAAGGGTAAAGTAATCATCTGTTCTTTTGATCTTGTGTTCTTCAACCTCTACCAAATAATATATTGAGAAGAAAGAAAGAAAAAAGGTCATATATTTCATTCCATTCGCCATGAAGGAGGCCACACATTAAAGAGACCCACGATTTCGGAACCACACCATCCAATACCATACCGTTCATACTCTCAAATCCCAATCCGAATTCAACATCTCAACAACCTCTCAAATTTTCTCATACAATGGTTCGAGTTACAGATGAGCTGGCTTTGTCACTCGATCATCTAAATCTATTTTACACACACGATCCTCATCTTTCGAATCTACCCGTCCTCATATATCATGGTCCCTCTACCACCACCAATTCGACCCTCAATAGTTCACGAATTCAACTTCACATCTTCACCGCTGCAGGTTTCCAATCTTACCAGCGCATAACCATTTCACCAAACTCACCGCTATACGAATCTGTGAATTATCTCCCGCGCGATAAACAAGGAGATGAATTATGTCGCGGTTTGGCGTTCGGTCTCTTCAAATATTTCAAGGAGTTGCCAGAGGTGGTGAAGAGTGGATTAATATTACAAGTTGCGAATACATCAAGGAAACAAAGACCCGGTTCGGCGCCGACATTATTCGGCGAACAACATGCGGCAGATTTGGCAAGTTCGATGGTGAGGGTGGAAAATACGCCAGATGTGACGAGAGATATTGAAGCGGCTTTACGAATACAAAATATAAATTATGTGGATGTAGATTTGGTTCTGCCGCCGGGCTCGATAGCACCTTTTCAAGAATTGGAGGGGGATTTGGATGAGGAAGAATATCCAGATCTAACACTGAGGCAATATGGATCATATGCATCATTGGTCAAGGTCTTTGGAGAAGTGGCATTCCTTCCTACGTCGAAATTACGTCGAGCCCCTTCGAAACCGACATCATTGAATCGAAGTAAATCATTTCAGAAGGATCAAAAGATGGCTTTGCGACGAGAGATGGGAGAATTGGTCGATACGGAAGAACGTTATGTGATAAAGATGCATGAATTGGTCAATCATATCGCAGATGATTTTCGAGCTAAAGCTAAAAGTCGAGCATTTGGAAGTTTCAGTCCTTCGGAAGATGATCTACAAAAGCTATTCCCACGATGTTTGGATCGAATCCTCCAGATAAATTCAACCTTCTTATCAGCGATACGAAAAGTGATGGATGAAACCGAGGAAGAAGCCATGCAAGATCTGGAAACACCAATAGTCAGCTCCACCTCATCTCGATATGGTGGCTCGGGTCGTTTGAAGGACCCTACGGGTGCACTGGCCTTTGCCAAAGTCTTACTTGAATGGTTCCCACAATTTTCCGAGAGTTACCAACAATATATCCATGCTAGCCAGGAATTTCCACAAATCATTTCGAGCTTCATGAAGCAACCAAGTAGCTTCTCAAGTCGGGTACAAGCTACAGGGGAACAACGTTTGAGATCGGCTGTAATTGAACCAGTTCAGAGGTTACCAAGATATAGTCTCTTTATCGATAACATTGTCAATTCGCTTCCAGTGCTACATCCAGCTTTACAACCTATGTTGAAGGCTAGAGATATCATTACTTCGATATGTTCACTCGATCCACCAGCAGCTGATAAGTCACAAGTGGTGAATCGATTAAGATATTTGGTTGATGCTTGGCCTTCTACATTACATCCTCAAGGACGTCTAATCACGGCAGTTGATACGATAGAGTTACCACCTCCATATCATGTTGAAGTCACGACAGGTGGTAGTGCAGGTATTACCAAGGAAGGTATACTTTTACTCTTCGCTGATTGTATTGTTTTGTTGAAGAAGAATAAGGATTGTTTACAAACAGCTCGAGGTGTCATGGCGGAGATTGATAAACCTTCTGCTCAAACCATGATGGCATCAGTTACCGCAGCAGCTGGTGGACAGAAACATCTCTATGATCTTTCCTTTACTGGCTGGCATGTTCTTGGAGATACTAGGATTACATCATCTGATGATAATCGATGTATTTGGTTAACTTCTTTACATGAGTTGAGAGATGCAAATATGGGACGAGATCGCAATCAAGCTGCTACAGTTCGGAACTTTGTTTTACAAGGAGCTTACGAAGCCAAGGCATCTAGGTTGGGTGAGGAATTGATCAAAGCTAGACTTGAAGGAAGATTTTCGGAGGCTGAACGCGAAACCGATAGATGGAGTTTACGATCGATTAAGCCGGCTGGAATTCATATCTATAGTGCTATCTTTGCTGAAGGTGTTGATGATTTGATTCAAGGCCGGAGAGAACCTGCTCCTGTTCGCTTAGTTGTTGATCACGAGAAAGGTACAAAGGGTGCTCCTGTGGGTCATTATGGTGTCGATATTGTAGCCAATGTCACAACATTAGCCGGTGGAGAAAAATACAGACTTGAGGTAGATGGACTTAATGATAGGGTTTATGTGGATGAAGTACTCCCTGAGTACTTGATGGTTACATTTGCAAGGAGGGGTAAGTGACTATGTATTATTTTTGAGGGCATGACTAACAATCTTAGTAACCGATCTACTTCGACTTCAACATAATATCAGTAATCCAGCCTTATCTGCACCTTTTACCTCTTTCTACTCGAAAGTCCTCAAATCTATCGACGTTCTGTGTGAGGGCGATAGATCAAAATCATATCGACCACACTCTCCTGTCAAAATTCTTTCTAGTTTAATCAATAGTGGTTTCGGAGGTTCACCATCAACTACAAGTCTCAATGGATTGGCATCTCCTGGCAAAATTTCGCGACCTATGATAATGGGTAAAATTCCATCATTGGAATCACCACAAATTGTTCGAACGGGCAGTAATCGATCTCTACATTCGATACAAGATTTCTCGGATGGTAAAGGCAGTGTTCGAGCTCCTTTTGAAGAGGGTAGACCGGTTAATCCACTTGTTCGACTAGAGGAAACTTTTACCGGTTATATTGCAGCTCTTCAATCAAGAAAAGGAAATGTGGTTGGAAAAAACTTACGCAATAGAGGAGCTGCTGATGAATTGGCCGTCAATGCTTTATACAATACTTTTATTGAAAATCCTTTCGATACTCGAGCAGCTTCTGAAACTTCTTTTGATGTCATTTTTGTGGCATTTGAAAAGTTTTTACGATTGGCATGGAAGGAACAAATGGGTTCTGTTATGTCACTTGATTCTCTTGATGCTTTACAAGAAAGATCTATCAAATTATTTCCTGGAGATTTCAACGAATATGTCAGATTGATATTTGGAGAAATGGCACCACAAAATAGGAGAGCATTTATTGCTATCATCAAATTATTGGCGGATCTCTTGGATGGGTGTGGTAATGACGGTGATCGTGGTTCTCTTACAGTCGCTTTCGCTGAGTTATTGGTCGTTGATGGAGAACCACATAACTACATCAATTTATTGGATCGTGTTGTCGAAGATTCCGATAAACTATTTGATGATCTTGGACCTGGACCTGGTATTGGCCTTGGAGGTGGTAGTAATTATGGTTCCGTGGCAAGTCGATCAATCCATTCAGCTACCGGATCCATCACATCAAATACATCATTACGAAGAAGATTTGCCGACACCGTCTTTCGTCAAGGTAGTACTAAAGCTGATGCTGACCATCGTCCTTCAGTTTGGAGAACATTAAGTAAAACTACTCGTAGTGTTGCTACTGGAGATCAATATGCATCAAAACCATCTTTAGGAAGAGCTCATTCAATCGAATCACCAGATCGTAAAAGTCGACCAGCATCTCGTGATAGACCTACAGTTATGGGTGCATTTGATGAAAGACCTGGTAGTTCTGATTCAATTGCACCAAAATCAAGGCTTAGTACTATCGGTGCGTCACCACCACCTGAAGATTCAAAGGATAATGGTACTACCAGATCATCGAAGAAGAAACGTCGAAGTTCTTTATCTGATCTTAAAAGTTTGATGGCTCAAGCAACACTTGGACCAATGACTCCATCTCCTGAACAACAACCTGCTACGATTACCCCACCAAATAAAAGAGCAAATTCTCCGCCAAGAACTCCATCACCTGTCAAGGTTCCAGCCTCTCCATTAAAGAGTACGAAAATTCCAGCAAATGGTTCAATTATGGATAGAGATCGATCTTTGATGTACCGAAGTTCACCTGCTCTCAAAGAAAACCTTCCCATGATCACTTCTCCTGATCGGATCGATCGCAGTATGGGTAATTTAACCGAACGAGCACAAAATATTATGTCTTCCCTGGATTCTACACCATTTGCATCACCAATCAAAGAACAATGGCGAGCCGGTCATAACAAAACAGTGTCTCTCTCATCAAACATCCCTACTCTTCGTGGAACTCCTCGCGATCCTTCTCGTCCAATAACATCTCACGCAAACAATCTGAATGGAACTATTAAGTCACCTCAACGTCTTCGTCTTCAAAGTCCACAAAAACTTCGCGAACGTTTACAAAACGAAGCCAAAGCAATAAATGAAGCAGAAGCCTCTCTTCAAAATGAGTTGTCTAAGATTGGTGAAGAAATGGCAAAATTAAATGCTGTTTCTGCGATTCCTAGAACTTCAGATATTGCTAGACTTTCTGAAGCAGTTTTACTGATGGAGACAAAGATTCCAAATATTGTAAAGGATTTGAATGAAAGAAATGATGCAGTTAAGAAGGAATTGGAAGTTAGTTTACAGGCGAGTGAGTTCAAGGTTAAAGGATTGGATCAACTTTATAAGGAGAGTAGTGCGGAGAATGAATTACTTTACGAGAAATTCAATGCCGAATTGGGGAAGATTGTTAAGGCTTTGAGAGCGAGTAGGAAGGGTGCTGGAGGTGAAGATGGAAACGGTGTGGGTGGACCGATGAGTGCTAAAGAAGAATTGGTTACGAGAATGAGAGAAAGTAGTGAGGAAGCTGCAAGGGTTAAGAAAGAAAATGCTAGGTTGAGGAGAGAGGTTCTTACATTGAGGACTTTGTTGAAGGGACAAGAAGGGGCGAGTGCAGGGGCACCTCAGTAGGTTTGAGGAGGTGAAGATGAGGATTCTGAGAATGTGGTTGAAGAAGTGACGAGAAGAGGTGAGATGAAGGTGACAAAGTAATGAATTATGCCGTTATGTCGTTATGACTTTCTTTTTCTATCGGCGGCAAATATTGTTTTTGTATCGAATTTGGCATCGTTTTGGTTTGGTTGTAGCTAAACTGGCAGGGCGTTCGACCCTTCTTTTTTCTCGATATACCCATAGCATGCGTGTATTTGGGGTTTTGGACGGGGATGGACGGACGCATGGTTTGGTTATTGGCAAATGGGGGGAATTTGCATTTAATAGGGTGATGTATGAATGGATGGAAAGATTTTGTGGGATTTTTGTAGAAGGATAGATTTGTTTGTGGTAATGGACTGTGTGATGGATTGATTGGAGAAATTATTTGGATGTGCATGCATGCATAATGTTATGATACCAAAGTTTATGTTTTTCATGTTTGGGGGTGGGGTGGGACGAGTAATGATCTGGATTTGGATTGTGGTGGATGGGGGATGGGGAATAGAGGGGAGGAGATGAGATAAAATCGAAGGGTGGAAGTGATGGTGATGAAGGTGGATAGTAGCGAACAAAAGAAAGGGGAAGGGAAAGGGGAAAAATAAGATTGGATGAGATGAGATGAAATAAATAAAATTAAATACATTCTTTGTGTATGGGCCTACCTAGGTATGTATGAGTGTATGTGTGTGTGTATGTCTTTGTGTTCATGTCTACCAGTGGGTGTGTGACCTGATCGGACTTCTCAAATTTTGAAATTCTCGATAAATCCATTCTTCAATTATTTGATATGAGAAGTTTATCTTTTCCTTTCCACCTTTCTTTTCGAATTTCTCGAATTTCTTCTTTCCTTTCTTCATCTTATGAGGTAGCTGTGTTGGCTGGAGGACTAGTACATGTCGATATGGTTGTCCACTGTTTTGTCATTGTGATTAGCATGGGTACCTACTTGACATCTTCATTTTTATAAAAAAAATAAAAAAAAAATAAAGCAATGAATGGAAGGGTGATAGGAGTACTTACGGGTAGAGAGGAAGTGGAAGTAGGGCTTCCGGAAATCGTCTCGGCTTTTACCAAGACGGGGATGATGGATCCGGTTACTAAGCTGAAGACTTGGTGGTGAAGAACTTGGGGGGGGGGGGAGTGTAGAGTTAGTATCTTGGGATGGGTTTGAAGAAATTTGGATGGAGGGGGAGGTGACATCAGGAGAAGGGGTTGAGTTCTTCCCGACGAGGTTTGAGTTCTTCCACAACGACCTTTTGACATTGATGATAAAACATCGATTTATATACGACCCACTAAAAAAGCAATAAAAAACTTCAAGATAAACACCGGGAAATCATACCTCTCAAAATACTAGCAATCTCTCCCGAATGACTTGTAATACTCAACCATGTATGATCATCACTTCCAAAAACATCATCCAAAACCTTCTTGCTTCTAACATCCTGATCGATAGAAATTTCACCCTCCAATGCCTTCCAAAATGGATCATTCTCTAGGAACCCTTTCTCAATTTTATATGAGGGGAATGATTCATGGATGAAAGTGCGGTTGCTTCTTCGATCACAAGTATGACCTGAAATACCTTCTCGGAGAAGTTCTTTGACCAGTGGTTTGAAGGGACGAGATTTAGGAAGAGGGAGGGTAGAGAATGTAATGTTGGAAGTTTGAAGACAGCGATAGAGTGGAGAGGTATAGTAAGATTGTGGAAGTGGGATGTTTTGGAGTTGAATGCGGGAAAGCCAGTAGTTTGATGCTTTTTGAGCTTGGGTAATCCCGTTAGGATCCAAATGAGCATCTGCCCACTGAAGTGTGTTAGCTTTCCTGATGGATTCAAATGTAGGTCGTGGACTGGTGGTACACACTGTGACCGTGGCATTACCATCCATTTCGGAATAGTAGCACTAAATCATTAGTTTCATCTTGCAGCTACATTTTGTTCTGACAAGAAGTACATACATTCCACTATATTACCATTAGCGATCAATTCATCATATATCTCAGTCATGAAAACTTACAGCAGGAGTTCCATAATAAGTCTCAGCAGCATTATGCTATCTTTCACCATGTCTCCCCATAAACAATACTTTATAATTCATATTCTTCTTTGAGTTCTTATTTAAAGAAGTCACATATTTCTCAAATCTTTCCCATTGACTTGTATTTTTAGAGGCATGGGAATCCGTAGGGTAAGTTCGATTTAGAAGACCAAAATTCCATTGAGTCTGTGAATACGATTAGCCTTGAAAACTTAAAATATGTGTAACAAATGATATATATCCAAGATTCAAAAAAAAAAGATAAGAATTCATACATAATCGAAAGTCGACGGAACAGTCGTCGCTTCATCTTGTAAAAAGAATCCCGGCACAGCAGTATAATTTATCCAGCTCTTACTATGAGATCCGGAATTCGATCGAGCGTCGTAGTAAGGAGCTGGAGTCGCATGAGGAAACTGAGCACCCGGAATCGCCCCCACGACTGAGAGAAAACTGAACCAAATCGTTAGAGAAAACATCACGAAAAATGATATGGTGATTAATCTCAACAATCGACAACTGAGATATTCCTTTGCCAAGAATAGGAATTCATCGTCCTTTTATATACAAATGTGAAATACTAATCTCCATAAACATCTAGGATATATATGAGAAATTGCATCCCAAAGATGGTAAAAGTAAATTATCTCTGCAGGTACCAAAAGTTCGGATGAAGTTGAGGTCCTATGGTTGATGCACGTGGAGGAGAATATACCACTTAGCTTCTTGGGGAAAAGCGGGGTATATTCATGGATATTAGGTCTTGCGGAGATGCTTCTCGGGTGGTGAGTGAAGCCGAAGGTTATACAAATTAACACGTGATTGAGTTGATGCAATGGAAGAGGATGAAGTTATTCTGAAAAGTGTTCCTCTGATATCTTTAATGGTCCTCAAAGTGTTTGTTGGCTGAGTCGAATCTATCACATCAGCGGTAGAGACCAAGAACCAAAGAGGTATCTTTCACGTGACTCTCCGAAATATCTAAGACCTCGCAGGTCCTTGAAGTGTAATTCGGCTCGTACAGTCGATGGAAAGATACAATATCATTATCAACTGCAAGAGCTCAAATGTAGAGTGATAGATGAAACCCGTTCACGAGATTGAAGAAATAAACTCGCCTTATCGGGTAAGAATATCCATCTTTCCTCTGATTCGTCAGATAAAATTAACACTTCACTACAAAATGAGGGGATTTGCAATCAAGCGCAGGTATTTCATACATCTCAACGACATTCATGCCAGCGACTCATTTGATATGAATGCATCTATACAATAAGGTTCCTCGATTATAAACTTTTAAGCTGTTCATAACATACGCAGTATTAGCATCGAATACCTCCCACTCCAAAGCCATGGCAACCTCAGAATCATATCTCGATTCCCTATGGGAAACGATTGAAAAGACCACTCACTACATAAACACAATCCGCATACCCATATTAGGAGAGTGGTCCATCCGATCAATTATCCAAATCGTACTGACATGGTATCTCGTGATCAAGCTATCAACTCGAAGTACCCAGCTTGAGGAATACAGGAAACGGCTTCAAAATGCCGAAGCTCAGATTCAACGAGATGAAGAATCCCGAAAAAAAGTTGCAGAGATAGCTTCGGATTTGAAGGGGATGTTGGAGGTAGAATCGGGAATGCTTGAGAATAATCATGAGCTGGCTTCGATTGTGGAAAAGGTGGATGGGATTTCTTTGGCTACGGCTTCTGCGCAAAATACAGATATCTCAAAATCGATATCTTCTTCGTCTGGTCCAAAAATGACTATAAGTCAAGTGAGTAACATAATTCTTTCCGAACTCACAATAAAACTAACACCACACAGCTTTACGTCTACCCCATCAAATCTCTCCGAGGATGTTCTCTCCCCTCGGCCACCCTAACCCAAGAAGGATTTTCCTACGATCGCAAATTCATGCTCCTTCGAGTCCGCGATCCCAAGTCCAAATGGGGTTCCTATCAAAATATGCACATATCCGAGTTTCCAGAAATGGCTCTATTCCATACATCCATCACAGATTCCACTCTTCACGTAACCTATCATGCCCCTGATTCCTCCTCCCAAGCCCCAACCTCGCCTCATCCCACTTTATCTATCGACCTCTCTCCCTCATCCCTCACCCGCCTCCCAGAAATCTCCATCACCATGCACAAAAGCCCCATGAAAGCCTACGACATGGGATCCATCTACAACAACTGGTTCTCCCAATATTTCAGATACCCCGTACTTCTCGCCTACGCAGGTCCCAACCGACGTCTCGTTCTCGGAAATCTCCCCGGGAAACCCGCAACCTACACCCCCCCGGCCAAAACTCTCCTCCAAAAAATCACCCTCCTCAATTCCCTCCTCCCCACCCCCAAACCACCCTCCATCATCTTCAACGACTGCGCCCCCTACCTCATCATCACCCAATCTTCCTGCGACGACGTCACCAGCCGTATCCCCTCTCCAACTTCCAAAATGGACATTACAAAATTCCGCGCTAACATTATTATCTCTGGTTCTCCCTCTCCATACGATGAAGATTATTGGGGTGGTTTAACCTTCTCCTCCAACTCCGACCCCAACTCCTCTTCCGCATCCCCCAAAGAAATCCTCCTAACCGCCAACTGCGGCCGCTGCGTCTCCCTCAACGTTGACCACGAAACCGGCACCCCCGCTCCCAAAGAAAAAGAAGTCCTGAAACTTCTCATGAAAGATCGACGTGTAGATGAGGGTATGAAATATAGTCCTATATTTGGACGTTATGGTTTCTTAGGAAATGGAGATATGGATGAAGGAAAGGTGTTGAGGGTTGGTGATGCGGTAAGGATTTCGCGGAGAAATAAAGAAAGGACGAGATTTTGTAGGTTTTTTTTTTTCTTTCCTTTCTTTCCTTTTTTTCCTTTTTTCCTAGGTGATGTCATATTATAAACTTCAAACAAACTCAACTAACCACCCCTCAGATTGGCCGGGCCTCTCCACTTAATCCAGTACATCTCAGTCCTTTAAAATCTAGTATACAGTATTTACAAACAGCCACCCCTACATAGCCTATATAATAAGTAGGTAAATCCAGAATCTAGGAAAAACAAAAAAAAACCCCCGACAGCATCAAATCTCTGCGCATTTAGTGTCACCATTCCTATTTTATACATGCAGCATGCTTCTGCGTATCATCCTGAGTAGGAATTTTTCTTTCTTAATTTCTATTTTCTTTTCTGTGACATTGAGAATGTGAGATTGAGGATTGTGATAATATGAGTGATGAGTGATGCGTGGAAATCGACTCGGGAGCGGCGATTTATAGGTTAACGACTTGATTCTGAATTATCAAGATTTCCCTTCTTTGGAATTTAATGTGTCTCTTAGGGTGGAGTCTTGTATATGCTGAGGTTGCAGAGACTGCAGAGACTGCTGAGTTGTGCTGAGCGGTATAGGAAATGGATAGCGATATCTAAGTTGAGAATGGACAGTTGGATGGCGGGAATTGAGATTTCTAACTTGGCGAGGTTGGATGGGAGGAGGTAGAGGGTGGACTTTTGGGGAGAAGTACATTTTGTGGGATGGAGAGATGGAATGAGAAGAGAAAGGGGAAAGGTGGGGAGGGGAAAAGTGTATCGTTACTATTTTATGGAAGTATTACGTGGAATGAAAATGTATAGGTGTTTGGGGAGTTGAGAGAGTATGAGGATGGAGAAGTTAGATGAGTGATTAGAGATACATGTTAATATGAGATGAAAGAATGAAAGAATGAGTAAATGATAGAGAAGAGTAGACAATCCGAAAAGGTGATTTCGATGCTTATATAGTAAAATTTAGAAGGTGGCGTGTAGTGTATGAGTCATAGTCATGTATAAAGGTAATTCAAAATGAGGGGAAAGATCGAAGTTGCGAAACTAGGAAGGGAGCTAAGTTAAGGTTGGAGGTTAGTGTCTTGAGTGGAAGGGTAATGGATTATTGACGTTTTGTTAGTGGTAGTGGTAGTGATGTTGGGACGGGAGTATGAGGGAGGATGGAGGAGGATGGAGTTGAATGGAGGGGGGGTGGGATACTGTGGGTTTGGGTCTTGTTTGTGGAAGGGGACAGAATGGGACAGAATGAAAGAGAAGGCAGAAGCAGAGAAAGAGTCAAATGCGGAAAGAGAAAGAGAGTGCAGTGAGGACAAGTAAGCTGCAAAGAGCTAAGCGAGGCCACTAGTGACTAGATCGAGATTAACCGAGGGGATTGTCTCCCCCTTAATGTCATTATGCGTATGGTGACAAGACACTAGGGAAATACGTTAGATCTAGTATCATACTTTCGAAAACTCTGTAAAGATTCTGCGTCGCTAGGTATCAGTTTGGTTGTATACCTCATGAACGAGAATTTCCAGGAAAGAGTCTAAGAAAAGTGACGAAAATGTTTCGGAATTTTGCAATGTAGGTTGGTTTCGCGGGAATAAGTATACGGTCTCTAGCTCATTGAATTACCGAGAAGTCCCAATATCTTTACTTATGAGGATAGAAAAATTTAGTCTCCGTGGGAAGCTCACATTCATTCATATCTCACAGAGTTTAATCCTATTTTATTACTAGAGAGAAATTCAAATGACATTCCATTAATAAGAGATCCAAATGAGACACCAAAATAGTACAGCTGTCAAGATGATGCGCTAAGATAGTGCGCTGGGTAATGTACTAGATAATATCCTAAATTGATAACCTTTTTACAAGAAAGTACGCTTTGAATAGACTTGAATCATAACACTGTCGTGCCTTCTTAAAAATTCGTAATTGTAAATCATTAGGTATCGCACGCTCTTATGTCCCAAAAAGGAAAAAGAAGCGAGGTACTACATCTTACCGCTTAAAGATTGAAGAATGAAAATGTAAAAATGTACTGAATGACGCATCGAAGTCATGTCAAGGACTTATGGATATCTTGGCTCAGCTGTCAAGGTAAGTTAGCCATTATACCTAAAAGGCCCTCGAAATCAAAATCGATCGTTCCTCCCTTTTTCCTCTTCCTCTCTAGTGCCGAAAATATCGAATGATCTACCGTCTAGTCTCGGTGCCATTAAAGGAAGCGTTATTGGTCAAACTAAAGCTTATTCGTACAAGAAGCTCTGTTATGTCCAATATACGAAACTCTGTTATCATTTGTGGATGTCGGAAGTAGAAAGGAGTCATCGGTGGCAGAGAGGAAGCTAATCGAGCCCATATTCCATCTCATCAACATAGGATGCTACCAATTCAAATTCCTGTAAAGGTAATACGTTAGCTTTAGGTCCCTTTTCCTTTCCTTGTCAATGGAGGAAAGGAAAATTTATCTAATGCTATGAGATTATATGCAGTAGTTGAATCATACCTCTGGGGAAAGTTGATGTTTGGCCATGAACTCTTGTACCATAGTAATGTGACAGAATGTGGCATCATTGTTGCCTTGGAAGATGGTGGTGTTCTTTTTAATAATTGTTAGCTCTTAACTTTTTCATTCTTAAAAATATGGTGAAAGGAAAAAGAAAATCAAGGTGTAATACAATAAACAGGTATGAAACAGGTAATGACCAAGAATGATAATGATAATGAGGAATAGAAGAGTCATATGATAATAACTTTATCAATTATAGTAAGTATTTGACATTAGTTAGATCAAATTCTGATTTAGTTACCCTCCGATCCTCGATGATCGTAAACTAAAAAGGGGAGGTAGTCATGTCAACCTAGTTCTCATTCTACACATATGAGCTGAATTCCCCTGTCTCTATCTCTTTTAAATATCTTAAGTACCAAATTTGTACAGTTGTTTTGTGGCTTCTCTGATAGTAATGATCAAAAACTTTCAGAGAGTGAATGCATTATCCCAAGATTCCTGTAAAGAACTTCTTGAAAGACAGACCATCTCATCGAATTGGCTGCTTTGCGGAAACATGATCTTGTATGAAGCACGAAGCGTTTGAACTCCTCTCCTGAACTAAAGGATCGGAATAGAAAAGAAAAGAAGAATTTGTACTTTCTCTCGGGTTTTGGGGGAGGGGAAGAGGAAAGGAAATAAAGGGGATTTCGAAAACTCTCATTGAATCAGAAGCTCAAGCTCAAGATTGAGGAAGAGATGTTAGAAACAAAACAAGCCAGGGGGTATACCAACTTGCATATATGACAGACAGCAGACAGCAAGAGTAACAAGAAAATAAGAACAACGGGAATTTAGACATACCACACCTCCATTTGAAGAGGATCCGGTGACCTGATTAACGACTACATAGTCATTTTCAATCATGGCAATAGAACTGCTAACTGCAGAGGAAGATGGAGTACCTAAAGCACCAACAGCTTGAGCATTGCCAACAGCTTGAGCATTGCCAACAGCTTGAGCTCTGCCAACAGCTTGAGCCATTCTATTAGCCTCAACAGCTCTGTTGGCGAGCATATGGTAGTAACGGCATCTTTGAGCTCGACCTGCAAGTGGAACATGTTCCTCGGCATTTCGACGAGTGAGACGAGGACGATGGCTCATCGGGGCTGGATGACCAGTTTGGTTGTTGTTGATTGATTGATTCATTTTGTTGGCAGGACAATGTTTTGATTGAAAGATTGATGGTTTGGATTGGAAGAAATGTCCTTTGACGAGAAGTTGGATGATTTCAATAAATCTACTGCTGCTGCGAATAATATGGTTAGCATTCAATCAAGTAAAGGACTCCAAATCCTCAGGATTCTTTAGCAATATCTACCAATGCGAGCAAGATTTATCGTCTCAAATTTATATTCTCGCAAAAAGAATTGATATCTGAAGTCCTTTTGATAAAAGAGAAAAAGGGAGAGGACAGGGAGAGGACAGGTGGAGGTATTAGAGGTATTTATGTTCGTATAGTAAGAGTAAAGCGAGATTGGAACTTCGACCCCAGACTACTATGTCGAGGCGTAAAATCTACCAATCACTGACCTGATAGAGAAAGAAGATTGGAACAGGAGAGATGAAGAGATCTCAAATCTCGTTCAATCAGTCAACCTACGCTTGTCTGGATTTACATGGATGGTCACAAATTTATGTGTTCCGATCGAGAGAGAATAGCAGTCCGTCTCTTCTCAGGTGATGATCATCAGGCCATATGAAGAGCACTACGCCTTTTTATTGGTTCACTTGGAGCCTTTCCTCGATGAATCCGGCTTTGATTTGCATCCAAGATTAACTTAAGTGCTCTACTGTATCTTGGTGATTATAGTTGGAACAATTTCCTTGCTTTTCTTATGATCATCATCAATATCATCCGGAAAATTTCCAGATGCTCCGCGACTTATCTTAGGGTCGGGTTGTTCTGCTAGATTCCGGGATAGCATCGGCACACAAACGCCTAAATGCACAGATTTGTCAAAAAGCAATCACCAAGCGAGAAGTACGGGAGAAGGACATGAGTTGACACTCCCAAAATAGAACACGAATGACAATGCCTTTTGAGGAGATTCGATTCAAAAATCAATACCAAATGTATGAAAAAGTACTTTTCATTTGAAAATTGGTATACAGACAGTTGATGCTTTTCTCTCATCGATACACTCTACAATATTCTTCTCTCATCGACACACTCTACAATGTTCTCAGTAATCAGATCTGCATTAATCACGCCATTACTACTGCAAACGAAACCTAAAAACCTAAGCTTGGCGGCTCATTGTTGGCACAGGCGATCTTGCACTAAAACTAGTTCTGGGTTAGGTGAGATAGAATGAAGCCTTTGAAGTTAGAACCCTTCTTTCAAAAATCACGTTTTGATCTCGTCACCCTACAATCAGATACCCAAATTTACTGAAAACTGATTCGTATCATGAGAGTTTCATATATTTGATATAGAAGATTTCATATAGAAGATTTCTCTCACGTCTGAGTCTGGAGTGCATAGGAGTTCATTCGGCACACTTCGTTTAAAAGCTTGGTATTATTCCCCCGCGGCGATTATCACACTAGTCAGATGTGCCAAATTTAGGCTTTCGGACCCATATACCCAGAAACCAACCTTATCGTAGTCCAGCAAAAGAGTATGCCTCAGATATCAGTACAATATAAGAGTGGTAATGTTCATGATTGTAAATGCAGTATTGTTAAATCGGATTCCACAAAATTCAAGAGATATTTGAAAGTTCTAGTTATCGGATGAGAATTTTGAGAACAATTTGAGGATAAAAAGCTGTAATGATACCAGGTGAAAATTGTGATTAAAGTGAACACAAATACAATCCCTGAGCATTTTGTATCCTTTCCAGTGATGAGAACCAATAACTTGGGTGTAAATTCTCGGTGTCTGTAGTCTTAACTCTGGTCGTCCTAATTACAAAACCCCCTCTTTTGTATTCACAAATACCATACAGAATTTTCCACCGACAACAAAAGATCGTCGGTTATGAATAATTGTTCGTACTGAGATTTACCAGCATACATACTACTCCTCAGAGTGTATTGGATGAGATCAAAAATGATACCTCGGGTCGAAAGAATCACATCGACGTACTGTATAGTTTTAAGTAATGGTTATGATCAAGTGTCAGTACGATTATCTTCGCATACACAGAAATACAGATCAATACCACAATATACACTCTATCCAAGCCATCATCACGTAAAGTTCCACCTGCCATTTTGAGAACCACCACCAGTATGGGAAACGTAATAATGAGTCAGATTAGACGCCAAATCCTGGCAAAATCAAATTCGTTCTAGTGACTAACACACACTTTCTCTCTCCTCCCCCTCTCTCTACTTTTTTCCCACGGCCACACTGCCCATCTTGTACCCCATTCATCATCCACCTCTATCCCTCTCCGGTAACCCCCTTCCTTCCTTCGAACACACCACTTCCAATCTCCTACTCAAATAATCAATCTACACACTCCAATTCCTGACTAATCTCTACTGACTCCAACAAACCCTACATTATCAGTGTCAACATCGCCGAATGATGACCCAAAGCCTGAAAAACTGGATGAACACACTTAACACAATTCAGCGTCTGTAAGCATTTTATAACATATGAACGTGGAAGATAAGTTCGTCCAAATATATGTATAATTCAGCCGACGATTGCTATTGTACCTACCAAGACCCTCAGGGTAACAGACCTGCATCTGCTCACATCATCATCAAGCATTCACTATTAGTCTTTACCAACACTGTATCACCCATCGTATCTTGCATCATATTTTGGACATTTAGCTCATTAAACGATAAATTAACTAACTAATTCCACAGATGAATCTCTGGACTATCTACTAATCTGCTTTTAAAACCGCAAAGTGTGATGTATGGTGTGATCATGTTCATATCCATATTGAGATTCATATGACTGTGCCTTGCGGTGCCATGTTTCTGGTCTATTCTGCAAGATGTCGATTAACCTCATTTCCTCTCAAAGTTGGCGACAACGTCAAGAACGACGAATAAGTCACCGGCCAAGACAAAAAAGAAAAGGCATGGCTCTAAAACCACAAAGCCGATTCAATAAAAGCCGAATCCCCTCCCATTTCATCTCATCCTACCCTACAATCCACGTTCCATCATCCGATTAGTAAGTCTCGAAAATCCCCAAGAACGAAACCGACTCATAACATGAGATGGATCTCTACCCGCACCCCGATCTTCATTCCAGTCCTCACCAGTCTCCTTCAACGTCTCCCTAGCCATTGTCATATAACGCTCCAGATCCTCGCGCTCCTTCCTCGTTTCATCATCCTCGTACTCCTCCCCATCTAAGTAGGAAAATCGGCGCCAAACAATTGCTTCAACTGCAATTTTTAGCTCATCCAAAACAGAAACACATACTCCCATGAATGAACCCGGGAATACAATTTTTCTAAGAGGGGCGTGAAGCATCTCCATCTTGCGCATGGTTGTGTCGTCAGGTTTACATAGTTTTCCTGAGTTTCGGTGGCAGGCAATGTAGGTTACGGTTGCCGCGGTGAAGATGATGTATTGAGGGAACTGGTGGACGATGGGATTAGCTTTCAAGTCTCGCAAATACAAAGAAAGAGCTAAAGAATGAAGAAGAAATCGGAAGGAAACATACCCAAGCACTTCTAAAAGCGACCGATTCGACAAAATCCGCATATATCGGAAATTCATGTTTCAAAATGGATGCTTCTTCTCCTTTCAAAAATCCCCTACGACGCGGCTCCACGATTTGACAAATATATTTACACGCATTTTCAAGCTTTCCGATCATTCCATCATCTTCCACCATATCGTAATTGGGATCGAGAAGGTATGTGCGAAGAAGAAGAATCTTGGTATGATGATAAGATAACCACAATTCTGATCTTTGTCGATTTTGGACTTCATCTAAGCCTTCAGGAAGGGCCTGAATTAATGAGGCTGCTTTGTGCTTTCCAGGCGGGAAAGGTGTTGGTGAGGTATGATTGGATAAGGTTGAAACGTTCTTCGGGTTCATATCTGTGGAATCCGTAGAATTGGTCGAGGATGTTGCTTGCGATTATTGAGAGTCTGGTATTTGGCTTAGCATTTTTTCTTAAGCCTGCAGTAGAAAGAAATCACTTACTCAAATTGCAGGTTGGATGAAAGGTTTGTGGAGAGATCACCTGGAGAAGCAGGGATGAGGTTTTTGGGTGTAAATTGTCTGTCGTTTATAATCTTTGGCAACTCCTGATCAGATTGTTAGTCAATTCTTTGATCCAAGTATATTCCTTTTGCTGTTATACCCATCCATCTCTAATATCTGCAGTGTGAACAAAGGATAGTTAAATTTCTGACATCTGCCATGATTGTTGAAGTTGATGGATCAATGTCAACTAAGCAGATTATCCGACCCCCCTCATGTATTCGGAGGCAGGTGCTCTTGACTCGAAGAAAGGGGCCAGCATCTTGACAAAGTAATGACACAACAAATATGCCAATAGAGAGTATGCAGAAGTTTACATGTTAACTTAGAAGAAATAAATAGCTTACCTGATCAATGTCATCAATCTTGAGAAGTTGTGGTCTAGCCAAAGCATAACTCAAGAATTTATCCAGATAGAAAGCTGCCCAGAAAACTCGTTTTTGACATTCCACCTCAATCAAATCAACAATACCTCTCTGGCTATAATTTCTGTTTAATCCAAGTGTGAAGATTAAGCTGACAACATTGGAAAAGGTGCTCCAGCACTGGTTGATTCGACCTCTCGCAATCAGATAGAAACATTGGAGAAGTCGTGCTTGAACGCCAGTTAACTGTGGTGGGCCAGTTTCGGATTGCAATTGTTCGTCTGCTACTTGATAATGGAGTATACTATTGAAGATGAAATGTTAGCAGAAGAATAGAAGCAAAGCATGGTTTACTGACCTGATGTCGGACGATTCCGATTTCGCACTGTAAGTTTGAGCCGAAGCAAAAATCATGAAAACGATAGCATTCCTGCTCTTGAGATAATCCATTTGCAAGAGATTGCCACCAGCCTCTACCAACTCTTCTGCCCAGCGTTCAACACTAGGTCGGTGTAGAAAGAGTATACTCGGGGAGAACTTGTCAAAATAAATTTGAACAAGTTTAGCAGCATTATCTGGGCTTGGCAAAGTCAACAATCCAGGTTGACTGATAGGCATTGGTAGATCGCCGTATGCAAGAACAGAAACAGGTGCATTTGAGTCAAACATCTGCTGAGCTCCTTGAGCAAGGTTAGCAACTGGACTATTACTCGCCAACTGTTGAGATTGTGGGATCATCTGCTCAAAGTTTATATTCTCGCCGAACGAACCTAGTACTGGTGACATTTGCGCGTCGTTTTGATTCCTTGGATGTTTAGACTTGTCAAGTTAGATCCACCAACGAAGACTTTGTGTTGAGGGTCGGGTTTGTAATTTGGATTTGGAAGGATTTTAGTTCTACGGCCACGAGCATAATCGTTCTGGTAAGAACAATCCTTCTTATCATAAACGCAATTGGTGCAAGGGAAGTTTCCAGAGCACCTAGCTTTTCCTCTGTGCGATTATTAGTAAGATCATACCAAGTTCTTTAATTATTTCCAAGTGAATATATGTTGAGTTTAGGGGGGTGAATCTCGGAAAAGCTTACTTTCTACATTGGTCGCAGGCTTGAGTGACTTTGCTTCGCTCTTTAGTTCTTTCATACTTTTTTCGTGGGGGTTTGGATGGATTGCCACGCGGGATATTTGGTGTTAGATGAGATAGTGTCCGTCATATTGAAGAAAGTATCCGGATATTGGTAGAAATCCTCAAGTTGCGCGTGGTCGTTGTAATAAATATCTGCAGATTGTATATCAAACTTGTAAAATCGAGGAAAGAAGAGCAAGAGAGTTTGGAAAGAGGAATGGTACTTTGAGAAGATATTTGTGGGTTTTGTAAGATGAGGCCGTAGGATTTGAAAATGAGGAAAACGGCAGAGGTTGTGACGAGCCGTGGAGGATAAACAATGGAAATATCTAGCGAGCTAATCCAAATTCGACAATTCCAGATATCGGAGGTGGAATGACTTTAATATATCTATACAGAGCAAGTTCCAATTCACTGTAAAGAAGAAGATACGGATATATAGAAAGAATAAATACTCAGAGAGATTTCCGGTGGTACCAAGATATTGATTTACTTGATTTGTCGAAAGAAAATTGTCTCGTCGCCTACGTGCCTACGTGCCTGCGTGAAGATTTCAATAAATATTACCATTAAGTATCGCACAAAATTTTGATGCGGCGCCAGCTTTCGAGATCAATAGAAAAAATTAGTCAAAGAGCAATGGTAAGACATCTCACTTCAAAAGATTCGCGACTAGTAGTCTTTTCCAAACATAAGACAAGTATCTTCTGGCATCTTCAAGTATTCGCTCCTCTTACCAACAGCAAGCTTCAAATTCGCTATATCATTCGACTTGACACTTTTCCGATTGCCGAATAAGTCCAACTTTTCCCATTCACTCACCTTGCCGATACTTTGATTGACTGATAAGTGAGGTGAATCAACCACCTCCATAGATTTCTCCTTCACAGACGATTTCGAAGTCTCAAACTCGCTATCTTTCCTAACTATCTCTGTATTCTCGAGATCATCCTTCTTTACCCCAATTGCAAAGCCTTGATCCGTTACAAGTGTTGGAGGTAAGTTCTAGAATATAATAATAATATTAATATTCTAGTAATAGTGGAAGACTTAGTCACTTTAGCTTGAGGGACGAATCGAATATAATATAAGAGTTAAATTGAAGACAAATTATAAGAAAAAGCTTGATTGAGCTGAATTTGCTTGCTTTTTCCTAGGTTTTCTTTAAAGAATATCCTAGGTTTATATAGTTTATAATGAAATTCTAGTAGTTTCTATGCTTATAAATAAGATCGATTTAAATCGAATCTTATAGAATCATTTTATATCATAAAAGAAAATTACAACCAATCAATTTAGTTAATTTATTAATAATCTTTCATATGATTCCATCTCATTCTATTTCATTATAAATCAATTTGATAAGAGATATAACTATATTATAATATAATAATATAATTTTATAATACAAAATCATATCATACTTATATTATTAATATATATATAGCTTGATTAGTAAGATATTAATAAGTGATTTAGTATACTTATTATAGAATCTCACATATTTTCTTAATAGGTATATTAAATTAATCTTATATATATCTTAATTTAGATTAATCTGATTCGTAAATTCGATCAGTTTAGTACAAGCTAGTGCTTTCATAAGCCCATCAGCCTTCTAGTCATTAATAAATATATAAATTAGGTCTAAATCCCCTAATTTAATAATATCTATAATAAAATAGAATCTGATTACTATATGCTTACTTCTTTTGTGGAATATAGGGTTCTTAGTAAGGACTAGTACGGCTTGATTATCTATATATAAAGGGAATTTACTTTGTTTATACAGATTAAGCTCTAATAATAGCTTTTTAATATAAATAGTCTCTTTAGCAGCTAGATTTATAGCAATAAATTCTGATTTGGTTGTAGAAAGAGCTACTACTGGTTGTAGCTTAGATTTCCAACTAATTGGCCCATTTCCTAGCATAAATACGTATCCGCTAGTGGATTTATAGGTATTCACTTCTTCCCCGTAGTCGGTATCGCAGAAGCCTTGAATATAAGGGTTCTTTATTTTATTATAATTAATCCCCTTATTTATAGTACCTTTTAAGTATCGTAATACTCTTTTATTGGCTTGAATATACTCTGCACTAGGATTAAAAGAGAAACTAACTAATCTAGATATTGAAAGGACTATATCTAGTCTGGTTCTAAGAGCTAGATATAATAACGTGGTTTAACACCGAGTGCATCATATCACCGAGTGCACCACGAATTTTACATACAAAATACGTCTGTGCGTAACCTTGCACTTCTTTATTTAATAATATAATTTTTCAAAATTTAAAATTGTAACATTTAATTATATAAATATTATAAAAATTTAATTATTTATTAAAAATTTGAATTAATATAGTAGTTATTATAGGAATAGTTTTTTTGTAACGAAAATCGTGACAATTTCCACTTTTTATAGAATATAATAGAAATTTTTATATAGAAACTTAATACTTTTATAAAAAATATTTTCTTATTAATAAATCTTTTTTGTTTAAAAAATATTGATTAAGTATTAAAATATGAATATTAGGAAAAGGCTAATTTTGGTGTATTTTGAAGTGGTGCATTCGGTGATATGGTGCACTCGGTGTTAAACCACGTTAAAGAACCTATAATTTCTTGATATAGCTTGATATCATTATTATTAGCTTTTTCTTTATTATAAAATAGCTTTATTTTAGGGTTTATTGGAATAAAAATAGGATTAGAATTCAGTATATTAAACCTAGCTAATATCTTTTTAATATATTCTGTTAATATAGTTTTAGAATATTACTAGTTCTTTTAATTTGGATGCCTAAATAGTTCTTTATAGATCCTAGATCTTTTAGATTGAATACCATTTTAGATTATTAATAAATTCATTAATAACCTTTTAATTTAAGGCTATTATAGTAATATCGTTGATGTATATGCTTAGAATTATATTCTTGCTTTTATTAATAAAGATGTATTCTTTGGTAATTAAATTTTTAAAACCTAATTTATTCAATATGTTTTTCAGAGTATAAAACCAGATTCTAGCCGATTGCTTTAAACCATATAAAGTTTTATTTAGCTTTAAAGCCTTATTCTTTAAATCTTTAAATCCTTCTGGTGGACTTGATAATAAGGGTGTATCGATATTGCCTTGTGTAAATGCTAGTACTATATCGATTTTATGAATTAGTCAATCATTTTGAAGAGCTAATACAAATAAGAACTTCTAAACCATCGATTTAACTATTGATGTATGTGTATCAATATAATCTAATCCATATAATTGTTCGAATCCTTTAGTAATGAATCTAACTTTGAATTTTATAAATTAATTTGAATCCTTAATCTTATATACCCATCTAGTTTTTAGGGTTTTATTATTATTCGAATTATCAATAATATCCCAGGTTTTATTTAATTTAAAAATATTAATTTCGTAATCCATGGCTTTTAATTAGTATTCTTTTTCTAATAAATTAATAGTTTCTTCATAGGATTTCGGTTTGATTAATATATGATCTGGTTTATTAATAATGATCTTATTATTAATTTTAAGCTTAGTATCAAAAGCTAATTGAAAATCTCCTTGGTCTATTTCGATATTCACCTTATTAATTGAATTGAAGTATCCAGAAAAAGCAAGTCCATCATATAGTAAAACAGTTTTTCCATCTTTATCAAAACCTTTATATTCAGGTACTATACCCCGAACTCGCTTAGATTATTGTATTTCAGAGTCTTCTTCTTTAGGTTCTTCAATATTAGGTTTATCGGTAGTAGGTTCACCGGGAGTAGGCTCACCGGGATCGACTTCTATATAGTCTAATGTATCATCATTTTTGTTGTTTCCAGTATTTTCATCGTTTTCGATTATTTCAGCCTAAGGTGTATTGACGCTAGTAGGGTCGTCTTTTTTTATTCTATTCTGAATAGGTTGAAAATCAGAACTTTCTTCTTCCAATAGGTTTAGATCTTGGTTCTTATATTTATCTAAATAAGTAAAATCTTTCTAAATATCGACATCTTTAGAGCTAATTATTCTCTTATTGGCTAGTATATAGACTAAGTAGTTATTCAACGAATCAAACCTACTAATACACTTTTTCGGGCTTGAAAATCCATTTTTTCCATTACGAATTTCTTTATTATTAATAATATAAGTAAGAGAGCCTAGAACTTTAATATAATTTAGATTAGACTTCTTATTATATATTAATTCGAATAATGATTTATTAATAGAACTATTATAGGTTCTATTCTTGATATAAACTATGGCTTTAACCAGGTATGACCATAAATAGAGTGGGATATCTTTTTCCTTAATTAGACAGATTAATCTTTCAACTATATATCTGTTTAATATCTTGACTATTCTATTCTGTAAATGAGCGTATAGGCTAATATATTCGTATAAAATCCCGTAATTTCGAATAAATCAGACCATTTATTCGATAGAAATTCAAGAGCATTATTCAATTGTAGTATTTTAAGGCTAATATTGAATTGATTTCTAATTAAATTATAGAATTCTATTAAAATATTATATACCTATAATTTGAATTTAATTGAGTATATTTAAATGGCTTTAGTAGCCCAATCAATAAATGTTAAAAAGTATTTTTCATTTTTAATTCTTATAGTTCTAAAAGGATTAACAATATCTAAACTGAATTTTTCAAATTTAAAGCTTATTTCAGGGATTATTGAAAACTCCTTATTTATTTTCTAATAGAACTTACCAAATTTACAAAATTCACAATTCTTTAAATTAGATTTAGATTTATCTAATTGAATATTCAAGAATTTAATAATATAATTTTTATTTATATGATCTAGTTTCTTATGAGCTAGGTTAAGATCAACTTTATTTAAAAGTAGATTCAATCCTTGAATTGATTCTTCTTTGAACTCAGGGGTATTAATACTTTTAAGGTATTTATAATCAACCTTAAAATTCAGATAATATACATTATTAACCCATGGAGCTATTGTTCATATATTAGCCTCTTTATAAATAATATTGATTTTATCTTCTGGAGGGATAATATGATTAGCCCACCCTTTTTAGGCTATTTTATTCGAACTAATAAAAATTGAGACTATATTTGGTATATGATATACCCTTTGTAAAATCATTTCGGATTTATTAATTAGAATAGGAATATCTCCTATACTATTAATAAGAAGCTTTTCCCTATTAGCTATAGTGATGAAATAATTGTTTAATGATTTATAATTCATAAACCATTCTTTATTTGGTGAATAATGTTCTGTAGTATTTGAATCTAGTATAAATTTGTACTTAGATTCACGAATTTGATTAACTAGGCCTATGGAGTGGTCTACCATCATTAATTGCTTGCTAGAAATGAGTTTATTCGAGTCTTTATTCGAATCTGTATTAGAATTCGAATCGGGTTGTTTCTTATTTTGACCCTTATTATTCTTTAATTCAGGGTATTTTATAAAGCATTTAGACTCTAAGTGTCCCTTCTTACGGCAGTGACTACAATGAGGAGCTTTCTTAAAGCTAGCTTTATTAGCATTTAGATCGGTATTAAACCGCATTCTAGTTTCTTCTAATATTAATTCAAAAAACAATTTATCTAAATTAATATCGTCTTAATTTTTAGCTAATTTTTCGTATTTTCTAAAGGCGAAATTATTAAAAGAACTAGATAAACCTTTAAAAAGAAACTATACTATAAAAGCTTTAGGGATATTATATTTTATAGATTTTAAGTAATTATATAATAATTAAATCGAATTAATATATTTGTTCATTTTTTTAGAGCTGGTGTAGTTAAATTCTACTAGTCTATTTAGATATCTTCCCATTAGTTCAATGGAAGACTCTCCAAAAATCATATTAATGGATTCCCATA